TTTTGCATTACATAGCCCTTGCCATGTTCATGTTGTTTGCATGTTGTTGCATTGCATTGTGTTAACATGTTGTGTGCATTGCCTGAAAGAGAGAAACGAATTGGCCACAACAGATATCTCATTTCAATCTTAACGAAGAAATGAAAACATTACTCTTTGTGCCAAAACCCTAATTATATTAAGAAACTAGTTCCTAAAATATTGGAAACAAAATCAAAATTCGTTACTAATATTTGTCTAAATAATAATGTAATTTACCAATTACATTTATTGGCCCAAAAAATTCTTCGGTCCACACAATGGAACCACAGGCTTCACCTTAGGCTTCCAAAGCGGATAATGGGCCTCCAAAGAGTTAAGGTTGCACCATCAATTGTCCTACACTAAAAAGAACTCAATTCCAGCAAGTTAGCAGACCGACCAAGAATTCCATCAGAACAAGGAGTTGTCGGTGGGCACAAATAAGGGTGTATTCTGTAGAGCCATCAATGAAAGAGTAGATGTTAGCACGGACCGCATGAGTGACATCACAGCTCAAATCTATGCCTGAAGAATATGATAGAGCTTAAGAGGCAAAACATCACATATGACCATCTCTTTGTGCTTGTCGATGTTGAATATCACGTGACTGATTAAGGCCGAATTGTGCAATATTGAGGCTGTTAATTACAATCTCTTAACTCTACTTGCTTGTCAAATTATATATTTTATGCATGTTTAATGTCAATCAGGTTGTACATAGTGGGAGCATAAAATGAGCAAAAATGCAAGACTTGTGGAGAAAAGTGTTTCCTGCACGTGCATTGACTTTTCCCGCACGTGCGGCAGCACCTCAAAAATTGTGCCGCTGTTTTAAACCTGTTTGAAAGACAACAGAGGTATAAAAAGAAGATAGGGAGGATGGATTAGGGTTCTGAAATTTTGAAGGAGAAAGAGGAGGCTAGGGTTTGGAAAAAGGTGATTCTCAATCTTCAAAGCAAATTCCCATGGAGGGTCCCATCTCTTTCCACTCCTCCATGAGTGGGTAGGCTCTTCTTTTCTAGGGTTTTGATGAAACCCTAGCTATGTAATTAGGTTTTCTTTTTGGTTTTTGATTATGTAAAGGTTTGAACAATTGTATGGTGTTTTAGAAGTTTCGTATATGTATTTTTCACTATTTCTTCAAGTATTCGGCTTTCTGTGATTGTTGAATGCTTTCCATACAATAGTTTTCTATTCTTTCATATTCAAGGTATGAGACGAACCATACTACGAGGGACGACTCGTGTCGTTACCATAGTTTAGAGCGAACGATTCATACTACTTGAGATGGTTCGTGCCCGTACATTGAACGTGATGATTTTCTTGACAAATGCTTCGAACTTGTAGTTGCGAAGTATTATTCTGTTCGAACCATAGCATAATTGATTTCAAATTGAAACCTTATTTACATAACTAGTGGTGAACTCATCGCCCTAGGTTTTTCCCCAAATCAGTAAATTCATCTTTATTTATAATGGCTAGTTTATTAGCTTATTTAATTTAATCATTATTAGGTTATGAACAATCAATCTTTTTTATCAAAATTAATTTAGGAATTTAACAATTAAAATTAGTTTAATTTCCCAATTGTCCCTGTGGATCGATACTTGGACTTACTATTATTCTAAGGAATTTGGTATAATTTAGTGTTTAATTTTGGTGTGTTGACCTTGAGTTTAGTATTGAGGAAAATTAAGTTCAAGATACGACTCCATTTTCAAACCCAATTTCTTCACGGCTTCTTCAGACACAACATTAGTGCAACTCCTAGTATCAATCACCAAAGAATACACTTGATCACCAATTCACCCTTGTATCAAAAATCTTGACTCTTTGTAGCTTTCCGGGTTCTTTTATGGCTTGTTTTGTAGAAGCCAACAATGGTCAAAAAATACCAAACATATCATTAAGGAGATCATCATAGGATTCCGAATCAAGGGGGTCAACAACCTGTTCATCAAGCTTTGTTTCTCAGATTTTTTTACCTCCCAAAGTCTTCATTTTCAATAACTGGTTTAATTGGCACATTAATCTTGGGAGAAAGGCAATCTTGAGCTTGATGTCTAAAACGTGGACAATTAAAACACTTGGACTTAATGTTATCTCAATACAAAGACTGAAAAGGACTTGGAGTAGAATGGGAAGGCCAATCAGGAAGTTTTCTATAAATGAGTTTCACAAAAGTCTTCCATTTGAAATGCTACTTGGATTGCATCTTCTGTATGTAAATTCTATTAGCAGCCAATCCACCAAAGAGTTTCAGATTGAGTTGCGGATTGAACCCCTAACAGTACATGGAAATCATGTCATCTTCAATCGATGAGAACTTGGACCTGGTAGCCAAATTGTAAAACAACCAACGGTAGTTATCCATGGACTTAATCCCAATTATGTCTAGCTTCATTATGTTTTCGCTGATATTTAGCCCACCAAATTCTAGATGTTCACTTCAAATTTTCTCCCACAAAAAAAATATTTTCTTTCCTCTGTCGTGTGATACCGACAAAAAAAAAAAACCTCTTGAAACTGTATGCTGCATCTCATAAGAGGAGATTTAGTGTGGCCCACATACATATTAATATTTGTAAATTATATATATTATATTTTATTTATATATTTATCCTTATATGTATATTTATCTTTTGATAATTATGGGTAATAATTATTGAAGTTATATCAAGAACTCTAAATATTGGTTTGGCTAAGGCCTATCAATTTCCAGTAATTAAGTTTCCTTGACGGAAAGAAACTAACAAGGTTTATCTGATAATGTATCTATCTGATAAGGGTCCCTGACCTAGCTGTTATAAATAGGCCTGTGGTTTTTCATCAATGAGGCACTCAAGTTCTACATAGGTTAGAAGACACTTATTCATAAAGTGTAAAGTGAGTGATATAATATTGAGAGGTTCATAAGAATTACACACATCACACAACTTGATCAACAATGGCTGGAGGAGGTTAGTATAAATTTTATTCCGCTGTATATCCATACATATATGATTATATTATATGTGTATGATTTTCCAACATTGTGGTATCAAAGCTTATCTCCAAATCCATGTTGATCAGTATATAGATTCAATATATATATATATATATCTCATTGACGTTCTTATAAACCTTTTTTTTCCGGTCAATCCCGTTCTTGCAATTGTATAGATTCAATATATATATATATATCATTGACGTTCTTATAAACTTTTTTTTTCGTCAAGACCGTTCTTGCAAATGTATAATTGTCTTCATCATGACTAGGATGCAAGAATAGCTTCAGCTTTAAACTGTCTTCATCTGTGTATGTGTGTAAATGAGAATGCATGTGCACGTATGTCAAAGGGTAATTAAAAAAAATATAAATAAATAAATAAATAAATTATGTAAATAGTTGTGGAACGATATTTGGGTTTGTTTATAGAAATTAAATATCTTGGGACCATTATATTTGAGTTTGTTTTCTGTTCTGTTAAAGGTTATATGGTGCCGAATTTATAAGATGGTTGAGCACTATAGTAATTTGAGAATAGCCACAGCATCTTAAATTATTGTTATGTGTATAAAGTTAGAAAAATAATTATATTAGATGACATCGTATTACTTGCATTTAAATTAGTAAAATTAATTATTTTACCCACAGGAAGATAATTGTTTTATTAATTTATTTGGAATAAGATAGTAACTTAAATATCAAAATAAAAAAAAATTCTATGTCCACAGATAATGGAATTATTTTATTTTGTGAGAGATATTTACTAGTCTTATTGATAAAGTTAAGTAGATTCGATGCAAGTTGCAATCTTTACCCACATGGAGATTAGAATTTACTTTATTTTTTATTTTTTCCGTAGCATGATTTGTTCTTTGTTGTTGCAGTCATTCTTACTACATTATTGAGTTCTAAATCATCTCATATTCCATTTTTGAGTGGTGAAAATTTTTCTGACTGGAAAGATAAGATTCTTTTGACTTTGGGGTGCATGGACCTTGATTTGGCGATTTGTGTGGACGAACCACCTGTTCCCACGGAATCAAGTACACTAACTGAGAGGGCTTCTTATGAGCTGTGGGAACGATCTAATTGCTTAAGTTTAATGCTCATCAAGTCCCATATCAGTAAGGGCATTAGGGGTTCAATCCCTGACTGCGACAAGGTTAAGGTCTTCATGAAGGCTATTGAAGAGCAATTTGTGACATCTGATAAAGCATTAGCCAACACCCTAATGAAGAAGCTCTCAGGCATGAGACTTAATGGTTCTAAAGGTGTGCGTGAACACATTATGGAAATGCGGGACATTGTAGCTCAACTTAAAACATTGGAGACAAAAATTTCTGAGTCATTCTTAGTACATTTTATCCTTAACTCTCTTCCTATGGAATATAGTGCCTTCAAAATTTCCTATAACACACGGAAGGAGAAATGGTCAGTAAATGAACTTTTGGCCATGTGTGTTCAAGAGGAAGAGAGATTAAAGCATGAAAAACTAGAGATTGCCAATCTTGCATTTCATGGAAAAGGAAAAGGCCGAAAGGACAAAACTGTTCCACAACAGAAAGTGCAAATGAAGCGTTATGGCAATAAAGGTGAATGCTTCCTTTGCAAGAAAAAGGGACACATGAAGAAGGATTGTCCTAAGTAC